TTATGTTTTTTTTTTTTTTTGTAGTTCTGTATTATGTGTAACCTTACACTGCTTTGTTTTGTTTTGTTTTTCTCTTTTTCCTCTTAAATAAAATAAAAAAGGGAGTTAATTATAAAAATTAGAACAGAAATTAACACAATCAATACTAAGAAAACAATCCAAAGAATCACTGAATGAAAGAGTTGGTTCTTTGAAACAATAAATAAAATTGATGAGCCCCAAGTCATACTTATTGAGAAAAGTGAAGAAAAATCTCCAATTCATGGAATAAGGAATACAAAAGGTGAAATCACTACAGATTCTGAGGAAATATAGAAGATCATGCACAACTATTTCAAAAAACTCTAGTTTCATAGATTTGATAATACAAAAGAAACAGACAGATTCCTAAAAACATAGGAAGTACCAAACCTGGGTCAAGAAGATGTAAAACTGATGAATAACCCAATTTTTATTAATGAAATTGAAAATGTAAGTATGCCTTTACCTACAAAAGAGCCCAGGCCCAAATAGATTAACTGCAGAATTCTATAAGAAATACAAAGAATACTTAATGCTGACACTCCTCAAACTCTTCAATGAAATTGAAAGTGAAGCAATTCTTTCAAAGTCATTCCTGGAAGCAAATATTACTGTAGTACCAAAACCAGAGAAAGACCCAAGTAAATCATTAAACTACAGGCCAATCTCTCTAGTGAACACAGATGCAATAATTGTCAATAAAATACTGGCCAACAGGATACAGCAAATTATCAAGAAGATTATATACCATGATCAAGTGGGATAATTCCCAGGCAGGTATGATGGGCCAACATTCACTAATCTAAAAATGTAGTCCATTATATCAACAGAGTCAAAGTAAGAATCATTTCTATACATGCAGAAAAAGCTTTTGATGAGGTCCAATACTCATTCATGAAAAGAACCTTACAGAAAATTGGAATAGATGGTCTTTACCTCAATATGATAAGAGCCATCTGTGACAAACCAACATGCAGCATCATATTAAATGGCAAATAACTGAAGGCATTTAGCATAAAATCATGCACAAGATAAGGATGAACCTTATCACTGCTCCTATTTAAAGTAGTACTGGAAATACTAGCCAGAGAAATTATACATGAGAGAGAAATGAAAGGAGTAAATATAGGCAAAGGAAAGTTAAATTATCAATTATTTGTAGATAACATGATACTCTACATAGAAGTCCCTTAAAACTCCAGTGAAAGTATCCTAAATATAACAAATAAATTCAGCAATGTAGTTGTATGCAAAATCAGTACTCAAAAATCAGTTGCATTCCTATACAGTAATAACAAAATCACTGAGAGAAATAACAGAAGCCTCATCCTTCACACTAGTATCCAAAAAATGAATTTTTTAGGAATTAATATCATGAAAGAAGTAAAAGATTTATACAGGCAAAATTATAATACCCTGAAAAAGAAATTGAAGAGAATTTCAGAAACGGGAAAGACATCACTTGTTCATGGATAGAAGAATAAATATTGTGAAAATGGCAATTCTCTCATAACTTAAATACAAAATCAATTCAATCCCAATGAAAATTTATCAGCATACTTCATAGATCTAGAGAAGTCACTCCTAAAATTAATCTAGAACCAGATGCCTCCTAGCATAGCAAAGGCAATTCTAAACAGCAAAGGCAAGTCAGGAGGCATCACAATCCCTTATTTGGAGTATATCACAAAGGTACTGTAAAAAATCAACATGGTAGTGAATTAAAAACAGATCCTATGATCAGTAGAATAGATGAGAAGATACAATACAACACAAACAACCACCATAGGTTCACACATTGACTGGAAGAACAACAGTTTTATTAATCAATAGATCTGGGAAAGCTGGCTATCCATATATCAAAAACTAAAACTAAACCCATGCCTACAAACATGTACTGAACTGAAATCTAAATGGATCAAAGATCGGAATATTAAAACAGAAACCCTAAATCTGTTGGAACAGAAATTAGGTAAAAATATTGAAGACATAGTTGTAGGTAGAGAATTCATGAACGGGAATCAAATCTCACAGAGAATACTTCCCAGAATCTATAACTGGGATCACATCTTTTTAAACTGTTTCTGCATGTCAAAAGAAATGTCCAGCATAGTGAAAAGAAAACCAACTGGGAAAAAAATCTTACTGAACTCTCCTGACATTATAATAGCCAGTGCTTATTTAATATTGTCTTGCTTTGAAGTCCAACTTTGCTTTTGTTGTTCTGTTTCCATTGGTTCTATCATGTTGTATCTTATTTTATTTTAGTATGTGTGATAGCATAAACAAATTTTCTATGGCAAATGAGATAATATAGTAGCCATTGTTTGTTTTTGGTTATTTGATTCTGAATGACCTTTAATACTTTCATTATCTTGAATGGTTTTATACTATTGTGTTATGTTTGATATTATTGTATGTGAAGTTATGTTCAACTATTTCAAAGAATGAGAAGTTATTGTAGTTACTGTTAATTATGGATTGTCTTGTGATGAAATACTGTGTTGTTTCCATTGTCCTGTTCTAATCTGCTTTGATATGTTAACTTTTGTTTCTCTTTAAAAAAAATTAAAAAGCATGCGTCAAAATACTGTATACAAGAAATACATTGAACTGGAAAGGAAATTCAAAAACCAAAAATCAAAGGAAAGCAAAAAATTGTTCCAAGTGACAGAACAGCATAAAAATAAAAGTATAAAAGCACATCAACTACAGAATGGATATGATATAGAATTTAATGCAGTGGAAATCTACGCAGTTATAAATAGAAGGATCTCAAGGCTCCTGTAGATAAATGGTCCCAACTGGAAATCATTTTCATAGGTTAAAGTGTTTGAACTTATATGCATGAACCTTAACATAAATAACAAAAGCATTTAATGGGATCCAAAAGCAAAATAGTCCATATAAGCGTAATATGAGAGGGAAAATTTTGGAGAGAAAGGTGGTAACTACTGTTAATGTTTTATTGTCTTTTCTGAACTCTTGTATTGTTTTTGGTAGGTTTGGCTTTGTTCTGTCTTGTTTTTTTTAAATTTTATTTAAGAGGAAAAAGAGAAAAACACAAAACAAAACAAAGCGGTGTAAGGGTACACGTAATACAGAACTACAAAAACAAAAAAAAAAACAAACAAAAAATAAACAGTATGTTAATAGATTACATATTATCATCTTAGAAATAGTTGCTCAAATCACAGTATCAAAGAATACAAAGTGGACATTCAAACAGAGAGACTGCAAACAGCTGTGTTCAATGATCCAAAAACATTAATATAGTCAGCTATTTAACACCCCTAAACACACTTGCTGTTATAATCCGTTAGGACTCTTTTTTTCCCCTCTCTTTTTTACAACAAAATTTACACATTTTGGATTTTAATACTCCTTAGTTCTCATTACCTTTTTTGGGGGGGAGAGAATAAAGTCAAATATGGCAAAACAAAGCTGTCAGTCAAAACCAGGGATAGACATAGCACATGATGTAGAACAGAGTACAAGGTTATCAACATTGTCTCTTGTTTCCTTAAAAAGAATTGTCTATCTCATTAGATATTATAAAGTTGGACAAAACAGTAGAGAACAAGACCAATAAAACTTAGGCATTGTAAACATTACAGGACTTCCAAAGGAGACAATAGTCAAACCAGAATGGGCATCTTAGTGAATCTTATTGCCTTCAAAGTAGTTGCCTATACCCTCAAACTTGTGTTATGTGTAGGGATAGAGGCAGTTATTTTGAATATAATGGGATATGTTATGGTCATCTGCTTTCCTATTATATTGCTTTGAAGTCTTATAATTCTTTCATTCCTTTGGTTTATTCACTTCATTCTGTTTTGTTTGACTTTAGTATGTGTGATGGTGTAAACAGCTATTTTGAAGAAAGTGAGACAGTGTAGCTACCATTGCTAATTTCCTGTCATCTTGCTTTGAAACCCTACCATGCTTTAGTTCTTGGTTCTATCCTGTTGTGTTTTATGTGATTTTATTATGTGTGATGATATGAATGACTTTTTTTTGAAGAAAATGAGGTCCTATAATAGTCAAAGTTCATTTCCTGTTATCTGGTTTACAAGTCCTGTAAAGCTGTCATTCTTTAGAAAGATTTTTAACATCTTATTATGTTTGCTATTATTGTGTGTGAATTTATGATCAACTATTTCAAAGAAAATAAGAGATATGATTTCTTGTCTTTTGGTGTAGTGCTGGTTGTCTGCAGTGTTCTGTTCTGATTTTTATTCTGATTGTTTTTACTGTCTTTAAAATAAAAAACAACAAATTAGCATATATTACAAATTATGTACAAGATGGAAATGATCAAACAATCAAACTATGGTAGCATGAGAAGTTATTTTTGATGAACAGAGATTATTAATATAGTATCAGTATATGTGCATGCATGTATGTCTATGATACATACATTCACATAAGTTATGTTAGTTACACATGTGAGTCTGTTTCATTTAACTTATGAGTTCAAATTCAAGTTTCATTTGTTTGCCTGTAGAAGTCACTTTCAATCATTGAGTAATACTACATTATATGAAAATATTGTAGCTTTATCACCCATAGCTATGTCTTCTAGAAAGAGAAAATGATATATTCTTGAAAAATAATTGGTATATAAAAGCAATAAGGGTTGATCTTTAAAAAGTGACTAGTTTGCAAAGATATGGCATAGAGCATATCTCAATGCCTGGGCACAACAAAAGCAGTTTGAGAGAAAAAGACATAGCTATGAGAATTCACTGTAGAAAAACAGGAGATCTTAAGTGACATAGTGATACATGTCAAGGTTGTAGGGAAACTAGGGCAATCCAGGCTGCTTTTCAAAGACAAATTTTTAAAGGAGGAACATGAAGCCAGCAGTTAAAAAGGAATTTTATTGTTCAAGTAAGAGATTGTTAGATATAGTGTATCTCAACATATTTTATGTGCTTTTGTAATCCTGTAAAATCTAGTAATTCTTTGGTAGATGATTAGTAATTAAAATGATGGTGGTACACTGAAGAATGCTGATGTCCTGGCCTTTCAGGAAGGGTAGCAGATGCATCAGTGTTCATAGGCAATGAGAACCATGGATTATTCATTGGTGATGGACCATAAACAGTAGACTCATTGGATATAAAATCAGGAAAACTGTACAAACACCTAAAAGGTTGTGTCATAACTTGAGCATAACTCTCCTGAACAAGAGATACATTGTGATATGGACAAGTAGGTGTTGCAATAAAGCTGACAGATGGCCTACTTGCTGAAGTGTGACTGTTATTTGAAAGCATATACTGATGTAAAATGGTATGTTGGTGTGTTACAGTTTGTTCTGGTGGCCTAATGGAAGCTAAAGACAGTGAAATTGAATCACTTCTTAGTAGATCAGTTGCATTAGCAATTCTGTTGCTGGTGGAAGGCTTCTTCAGTAGAGGCACATTTATGTTTGGAGGGTTTGAAAGATTTTCTCCACCAATTTCAGAAACCAAGCTGGAATTTAGACTATGCATGTTTTCTTTTGTTCTTGGATGTACATTTAGGTTTGGAGGGTTTGAAACAGTTTCTTCACCAATTTCAGAAACTAAGCTAGAATTTAGGCTATGCATGTTATAGTTTGTTCTTGCATGCACATTTAGGTTTGGAGGGTTTGAAACATTTTCTTCACCAATTTCAGAAACTAAGCTAGAATTTAGGCTATGCATGTTATAGTTTGTTCTTGCATGCACATTTAGGTTTGGAGGGTTTGAAACATTTTCTTCACCAATTTCAGAAACTAAGCTAGAATTTAGGCTATGCATGTTATAGTTTGTTCTTGCATGCACATTTAGGTTTGGAGGTTTTGAAACATTTTCTTCACCAATTTCAGAAACTAAGCTAGAATTTAGGCTATGCATGTTATAGTTTGTTCTTGCATGCACATTTAGGTTTGGAGGGTTTGAAACATTTTCTTCACCAATTTCAGAAACTAAGCTAGAATTTAGGCTATGCATGTTATAGTTTGTTCTTGCATGCACATTTAGGTTTGGAGGGTTTGAAACGTTTTCTTCACCAATTTCAGAAACTAAGCTAGAATTTAGGCTATGCATGTTATAGTTTGTTCTTGCATGCACTTTTATGTTTGGAGAGTTTGAAACGTTTTCTCCACCAATTTCTGAAACTAAGCTAGAATTTAGGCTATGCATGTTATAGTTTGTTCTTGCATGCACTTTTATGTTTGGAGAGTTTGAAACGTTTTCTCCACCAATTTCTGAAACTAAGCTAGAATTTAGGCTATGCATGTTATAGTTTGTTCTTGCATGCATATTTAGGTTTGGAGGGTTTGAAACATTTTCTCCACCAATCTCAGAATCTAAGCTAGAATTGAATATATCCATGTTATCTTTTGTTGTTGGATTCTTCTCATCAAAATGAGGGACTAACACAGGAGATACTGGTAAACGATTTCTAGTTCTGAATCTTCTTTTTATTCTTGGTAAAAGTTGTGGACATCCTCGTTTAAAATTTGAATTCTGAAAGAACTGCAACTAAAATCAGAGAAGAAAGTGTTTTAGTTCAATTTTACAACAATCAACAACCCACAATGTGTGAAATTAATCTATGAAATTACATCTTTGCATTTTAAAATACAAGTTCATCAAATAATGCATATAAACTGTAGTCTATTAAATTTCAGATTTCAGTTTTGAAAAGGACATGATACTAATTAAACTATGAGTGCTCCCAGTTTTTCTGAAAGAGTCCTCCTTGGAAACACATTAAGATATGAAGCATCTTCAAGGGAAAATATAGGGTGTATTTATAGTCACGTGAATACTTAACATTAAGCAACTTGAGTGTACATATTTATTTTATTAATATTTCAAGTCAATGTGAAGATATCATAAAAGAGTTAAGACAATATAACATACCATTAATAATCATAAGATTTTTCAATTGCTATAATTCCACCTATGAGGTAATAATAAATAAAATAAAATCATAAACATTGCCAGCATTTTGGAAGGTGAACAAATTTCATACCTTGTTTAAAACAGAGGCTCCATTTTCTTCTGCCAAGAAATCAGCAAGAGAAGCTGATCTTTGAAATGATTCTTTCATCCTCCTGAATCCATATAGATTAAGCTGTCTAATTATGCTTTTCATCTTATTAGTTTCAAATATTCTGCAAGGTGTCTCCCTTTCCAAAACTTCTTTTTTAAAACATTCTTCATTGATGACTATGGCAGTTCCAGCTTCATCCCACCAAATTGACTTAAACTTTTCACTTTCAACTAATTTCCATAGCTTACTGGGAAAATTCAGGGAGAGAAAGTCATTATCTTCATCTCGTTCTGAGATATGAAATGCATAATTTTGGGTTTTTACAAAGTACCTCTGAGCCAAAACTTGGAAAGCTTGTTCCTCAACCATAGATCTTAATTGTGAGTCTTCCATGAATGTGTGATCACACCATAAAGATTCAATGCAAGTCTCTGAACCAGATGGTTCATTTTTAGGGGTAGCATCTTGATTTCCTGGAGATATCTGTGCCATCTCAAACAAGGATTTCCTCAGTGCCTCTTCTCACCTGCATGGCTTTGAGCACTGGAGCTTCAAGTACTGTTTCAGATGGCTGGGAGTTAAACCTGAGCCAATCACAATGCTAACTGTGACATCACCCTACATACCTATGACATCACAAATGCCTTGTCTCCTAGCACTTAATGTGTAGCATCCAGCATGAGTGGATCTGTTTTCTTCTACTCTGAAGTTTCTGTTTATTTGATGTATACCCCCAAATTTCATTTCCACAAATATTTAAAACCAAACAATAAATCGTTCTCAATTTTCAATGCCTGTAAATGTTATTTCAAATTTCATATGTGAATACTCATCCTGCACTACAGGAACAGAACTGTAAATGGAAAATAGGCTATAGCTTTTGTAAACTTAATAGGGCTCAAATGGATGTGATATATCCAAATTTGGACATAATTTATTATGTTTCATATGAAAGGTATATGTGAATAATCAGTTTATTAACTATATTTTAGGAAACTCTTTTATGCATGCTTTTCTATAAAAACTTGTCCTTACACATAAATACCTGTTTTTCAATTCTTCATATATTCTATATTTGTGAATTCTGTCTGTGAATTCAGTGCCAGAAGCTTTTCTTTCCCATTCTGTATATTGTCTTTAGCACATGCATACATTGGTAGATTAAAATAACAACACAAATAAAAATAATACTATCAACAATAATAATGATAAAGGAATGTGGACAATAAATGGGGAAGTTACAAGGGAGAAATTTTCAAATAGATAATTAAAATGGAATGCTATTCGTTGTGCTGCTAAATACAGCTGAGTGTGTCAGATGATCAAAAAATCATTCAGAAAATCAATGAATCCTCTAGAGTCCCTATGTTGAAATCGCTTGAAACTCTTTGAATGAATTTTACAGCAGTTATGCCAAAGGTGCCAAAGAAATTTGAATGTTTTCATACAAATAAGCTGAAATAGTCAGCCTATCAGCTTGCATCTCCTACTTAAATCTACCTTGCCTTACATATGGTTCACATGGAAATCAGTTCTGATATTAATCTGTGGTTGATGAAATGTCTATCAAGTGCCTGATAAAACAAACATTTTCAATTGTAGTTGTGAAACAAGAAAAATAGTGCTTGACTATTTTGAGTAGACCAGTGATTAGACATTAAATAAAAGAGAAAAATATTAAGGGCAGGCTCTTTCAATAGAACCAGATGAGTACATATATGATTATGTGGAATATCAAACATGTCATATAGTTTTCAATATCTCAGATACATTAAAGCATCTATTATGTGACTGTGCACAAACAAGAATTTTTTAAAAAATTTTATTAAAAAAAGAAAAAGTGAAAAAACAAAACAAAACAAAGAGGTGTAAGGGTACAAGTAATACAGAACTAAAAACAAACAAACAAACAAACAAACAAAAAAAAACCAGTAAGAAATCACCAGTTAATAGATTACATATTATCATCTTAGAAATAGTTGCTCAAATCACAGTATCAAAGCATAAAAAGTGGACTTTCAAACAGTGAGACTGCAAAAAGTTGTGTTCAGTGATCCAACCAAAAACATTAATATGATCAGCTATTTAACACCCCTAAAGACACTTGCTGTTGTATCCTTTAGAGCTCTTTTTCCCTCTCTTTTTAAAAAAAAAATTTCCACATTTTGGGTTTTATTACTCCTTAGTTCTTATTACTTTTTTTGGGAGAGAATAAAGTCAAATATGGCAAAACAAAGCTGTCAGTCAAAACCAAGGATAGACATAGCACATGATGTAAAACAGAGTACAAGGTTATCAACCTTGTCTCTTGTTTCCTTAAAAATAATTGTCTATCTCATTAGATATTATAAAGTTGAACAAAACAGTAGAGAACAAGACCAATAAAACTTAAGCATTGTAAACATTACAGGAATTCCAAAGGAAACAATAGACAAACCAGAATAGGCATCTTAGTGAATCTTATTGCCTTCAAAGTAGTTGCCTATACCCTCAAACTTGATACTATCATACAGAATGGAACAGAGTCTAATCAGTCAAAACAAGATCGTGGGAGTATTACAGGACTTCAAAACAAGTTAATAGGAAATCAAAAAAAGTTACTATTATATATCCTGCTAATTTAAATTTTTCCCCTTAATTAAAAAAAACATAAGAAATAACTAAATAATTTTTTAATGAATAAGGGAGAGATTGAGATAAAACAGGACATAACAATATAACAATACAGGTCAAAGCATGACTGTTTCAGCAACCTAGTGCTTCACCACCAAATAACCTGACTTAATAGTAGTTACCATAGTGTCTGTCTTTTTCCTTGAAATATTTGAATAAAACTTCATATACTATAGCTTCAAATATTTCCATATCAAGAAGCCCAGAATAATTAATAAGTGAAAACTTTATAAGGCTTCAAGGCCACATAATGGGGAATCATGATTACCACATATTTTTATATATTTGAATCATTACATTAGGGAAACTATTCGGTATTCATACATGCGAGATTGATTTATTTCACTTATGAGTATGGTCTGAAGCTGCACCCAATTATTGATAAATATCTCAATATGATCCTTCTTTATAGCCGAATAATACTCCATTGTATAGAAATACCACAACTTTTTTATCCATTCCTCAGTTGATGGACACTTGGTTTGTTTCCAAGATCTGGCAATTACAAATTGTGCTGCTATAAACATAGGTGCACGTATGTCACTGTGGTATGATGCTTTCAGTTCTTCTGGGAATATGCCTAGAAGTGGAATACCTGGAATAAATGGGACTTCCAATCCCAGCTTTTTGAGAAATCTCCAGACTGACCTCCACAAAGGTTGCACCAGTCTACACTCCTACCAACAGTGCAGGAGAGTTCCTTTTTCCCCACAGCCTCTCCAGCAGTTGTTGTTGTTGGTTTTCTTGATCCTGACCATTCTTTCAGGAGTGAGATGGTATCTCAGTGTGGTTTTAATTTGCATTTCTCTAATGACCAATGATGATGAACATTTTTTTCATGTAATTATTTGCCATTTGTATTTCTTCATCTGAGAAGTGCGTATTCATCTCAGATGCCCATTTTTGGATTGGATCTTTGAATTTTGGGGGTCTGAGTTTTTTTAATTCTTTATATGTTTTAGACAAGCATCCCTTGTCTGAGAAAGTTCACTAAAATCTTTTCCCAGTTTGTGGGTTTTCTTTTCACTATTCTGGAGATTTCTTTTGACATGCAGAAACTTTTTAATAAGAAGTGGTCCCAGTTATTGATTCTGGGAAGTATTTCCCGTGCGGTTTGAGTCCTGTTCATGAATTCTCTACCTACTCCTATGTCTCCAAGATTTCTACCCAATTTGTCTTCCAATAGATTTAGTGTTTCTGTTTTAATATTCCGATCTTTGACCCATTTAGATTTTAATTTAGTACATGTTGATAGACATGGATCTAGCTTTAGTTTTTGGCAAATGGAGAGCCAGTTTTATAGCACCATTTATTAAAGAGACTGTCATTCTTCCAGTGAACCTGCTTGGTTCCTTTATCAAAGATAAGGTGATTGAGTGTGTTCGTAGTTGTGGTTGTATCTTCTATTCTATTCCATTGGTCTTCAGCTCTGTTTTGGTTCCACTACCATGTTGATTTTACTACTTGTTGCTTTGTAGTATAACAAGACAAGGATGTCCTTTATCACTACTCCTATTTAATATATTACTGGAAGTACTAGCCAGAGCAATTAGGCAAGATAGAGAGAAATAAAAGGGGTAAAGATAGGAAAAGAAGAAGTTAAATTATCATTGTTTGCAGATGACATGATACTCTACATAGAAGACCCCCTAAACTCCATTGAAAGACTCTTAGATACAATAAATAAATTCAGTAATGTGGCTGGATACAAAATCAATACTCAGAAATCAATAGCCTTCCTATACACCAACAACAAAATCAGAGAGGGAAATAAGAGAAACTACACTCTTCAAATTAGCAAGCAAAGAAATGAAATATGTAGGAATTACTCTTATGAAAGATGTGAAAGACTTGTGCAGTGAAAATTATAATACACTGAAGGAAGAAATTGAAGATGATCTCAGAAAATGGAAAGACATCCCTGCTCATGGATAGGAAGAACAAACATTGTGAAAATGGCCATTCTCCCATAACTGTTATACAGATTCAATGCAATCCCAATAAAATACCATCAACATACCTTATAGATCTAGAGAAATCACTCCTAAATGTCATCTGGAACCAGAAGAGACCTAGAATAGCAAAGGCAATTCTAAGCAGCAAAGACAAAGCAGGAGGCATCACAATCTCTGACCTGAAGTTATACTACAAACAAGAATGCTGAATCAAAAGTTGATGCCTCTAACTTCATATGTCTCTAATGCTTGGTTTCACTTAAACTTTGAACCTCAACTTTCCTTCCTTTCTTTTTTGGTTTTTCTTTCTTTCTTTCTTTCTTTCTTTCTTTCTTTCTTTCTTTCTTTCTTTCTTTCTTTCTTTCTTTTTTCATTCCTTCCTTTATTTCTTTTTTCTTTCCTTCCTTCCTTCCTTATTTTCCTATTGAATTATTCCTTTGCATGTATATGTTTTGATGTGTATTCTGCAAATATAAATTTCAGAGAATTCTAGATGTATATTCAGAAGTGATTACATGAGCCTAAATGAAAAGTGCAGTTTACATAAATGTTCCATTTGTTTTATGGATAGCAAGGAGTTAGGGAAAACTGATTGTATTTCTTATCTTGATTGCATTTATTTACTTTTCCTATGTGTAGAAAGTTAAGCATGTCAATACTTCTTCTCTAGGTAAAAAAACAAAACAAAACAACAACAAAAAAAAACACTTCAGTCATTGCACATGTAAAATATATTGTCAGTTTCCAAAGTATTCTCCAATTATAAATAAAATCAAGTAATTCACCATAAAATTCAAAGAAGAAAAATCACAGTTAACAGAAGACAGCAACAATAAAATTCTGAAAGAATTTCTTTCTCTGTGATTTTAAGACTAACAGGAAAGTTGGCTAGCTGTGTGTCCCAATA